CTGAAGGTGAAAATGCTAGCAATATTGTTTATGTTTCTGATATATTTCCTAATCTTACATTTAATACAAATTTTGATTTATCTGTACCGACTATCAATATACTTACTAAATTTTCATGACCAACCCTACGTCTACTTTTTCTTCTATTTCTAATAACAATTAATGAGATATCAAAGAAAGCGCGTTTCGTGACTCACCCTGTATATAAAAATTAGAAAATTAAACCAATATGTTATTGATAAAATTTTATAATGACTTGTTTATAAACCAGTAATCGTCAATGCGAAAATTACTTATGGAATAAATTCAGTAATTTCGTATTTTTTAATTGCTAATTACGCTTTTTTTAAGTTTCTTCTCTTGTTCATTTGGCATGGTTTTTAATGAAATGCTGTATTTTTTGTTTTAATTTTGGAGAGTACTCTTAATGGTCTTTAACAACAAATTCTACATGATTTTTTTGATTATATCCAACCTAACTTTTTTTAAAATTATCTAATCTGTACCATTTGATTGGAGCGTAAAAATATAATAATCTCAAGTACTCTGCCTACAAATTAGAATTCTATTTTTAAAAAATCATATGACGTCATAGTTTGAAACAGAATGACATTACAAATTTTGAAATTAGTCAATTTATTCCACACTGTATAAATTTCAGCAGTGTCATAGTTAAAACAACCTTGTGTTCAGAAAATTTAGGTAGATAGTATTAATTTTTCTAGCCACTCACTGTAATTCCAAAAAATAAAACTATCATTAAAACACAAACAGCACCTGCATAACATAATATGACTTTCTATAAACCGTAGATTACTAAAATGAGAAAAATGGAAATCGATTTCGCGTTTTAACCTTTCGGTCCCAAAATTTAATCCGGATTTGAAAATAATCCGGAGCGAGCGACCATTGTGGGTACTCCGATTAAGATATTTACGTCATTGAGATTAATAATACTCATAACCTGTCTCCGTGTCCTAGAAAGCGCAAAACGTCATGCTGCACTCAAATAAACGACTTGGGAAAAACACGTTATTTTTTATTGTGTCCTTTAAAAGTGCTTTAACCTTTGACTTTATTTACTTAAGAGGTTTTTTATAGGTGCTCCAGTCGGAAACCATCATGGAGTCGTGGCTAGTAGACGTGAAAAGGGTTCGCATCCCTCGTCCAAAATTTGGCAGCGGTTCTCGTTGCTCTTACCCAATCGAACCCCCCAAAGATTACATCTACGACGACTGTCGACAGGACGATTTAAAAATGCGAGCCGCCCTTCAGAACACGAATCTGGCTAAAGCGACGGAGGAACTGCGACGAGCTCTTCAGGAAAAACTTTAATTTTATACATGCAATTTTTACTTCAATTATCTTAATAGTAGGTACACGCAGCCAATTTACATTGCAAATGAAAGTTGTAATAAGCATTTACCTTGCTTCCGCGCGCAATATTTCCGCACGAATTTTGAATTTCAACGACTTAATGAGGAATGTACATGATTATGGGGTGTTGGGGTAAAATTTGACGATTTAATTAAGCAGTTGCAATGATTACCAAGATTTCATTTTGAAAACGTAATTTAAATTTATTACAAATTACAACATGGGGTATTTTGATTTAACGAAGTTTATTTAACTACGCTGTGGTACATAGTTAAACAAAGGATAACAATAAACAAGCACTGTTTATGTTTATGTCAGTTCATTAGCGGCATTTTTCTAAAGCCGTAAAGTCATATTTCATTGTGATAGTACATAGTAAACAGAAATAATGTCGCTTCAGACTTTTACATAACGTACCTATCACTTTTATAATTGTATACGGAATGTTTGAACAAACAGTTAGTATGGTAATCATAATAACTTTTGTCTCGAGGAAAACGCAGCAGCTGTTCTGTTTCATCATTTTAAATTGAAAAATAAATATATTTTGTGTTTACTATATATGAAAGAACCTTCAAATATTCAAGGCTACTAACTGAAACGAAGACTACTTCAAAAATCGTGGACGATGAGTATTTGACATTTCACATGTAAGTTTAACATTTTTTTTTTTTTAGACTCTTTTTATATTTTGAATTTAGAATCATCTGGATTATGCGTAATCTTATGGTTTTAAAATCCCGTTCGTCATTACAAAAAGGCAATAAAAGATTCTGAAGATTTTTCGCAACAATAAGTGATATTGTAATTTATATGGATAACTTAAAAAAGTAAAAATCATTTAAAAAATATACGCGACGTCCAAACATATTTGTTTGCATAGATGGCTTTATAATTTTTACTGGAATATTGTTTACAATTTCCATTTGTTTGTGACATTTACAAAGGTAAACAAACTTTTTAATGTACTGATTTTTAACATAAACTCGTATAGTTGTTGTTTGTGTAGGCAACCAGCAATACATATAATTTTGACGGACAATAATTCTGATAAATTTTATATTTTTGAATAAATGGTATAGATGCAAATTACAAAAACGAAAAATACTGTGCGAACCATACTGACCTTTCACACCTCATACCTAATATAAAATTTTCTTTTAAAATTTTATCTTAAAGTAATATTGTTTTATGCTTGGATGCAAAATATGCGAATTTGACAGAAAAAAATCAAAAATATTGTTTTCTGAATAATAAATAAAATATTCTTTCATTGTATTAGAATTAGAGTTAGAGACGTCAAATTCTAAAAATAGGGAAACAGATAAAACTTTTTCACTGGAACTATTAAAATTTCTAATTATCGGTATTTTCCAGTATTGAAAAGGTAGGTAGTAACACCAAATTCCAATTAAATAACAGCAAATTCCAATGCAATTCACTTTATCGGAAAAATTAAGGTTTATTTTCATTGTAAATTTTGTTCACAATTTTTCAAATGTAATTTTTTTATGAATTTTATTTTCGTGTCAAACGTAAGATGTTTCAGTAATTCCCCAAGTTGTCATTGTTAAAGTTTTCTCAAATTTCTTCAGTATAACTGACTTAAGAAATTATTCTTTCATCCCGTATTAGAATTAAAGTTAAAAACGTCAAAAATTTATTTTAAAAATTAGGAAACACGTAAAACTTTTTGAATGGAAGCAGTTTTTGACTTCGCATTTTTTTATTATATTTTCGTCTCAAGAATGTTAAAAGAATTGTTTCTAATAAACAATTTCTTCAAATCAAAGTGAATTTTACCATTACTATCTAAGTCCGACTTGTAACAGTCATTAGACAAATCTAATTTTGGTTATAAGAATATTAATTTAAATTTAGATTTGTGCTATTAATTTACATTTATAGAGATTTTGTTTTTTAACTTAGCTTTCTGAAAAACTTTTTTTTTGTTTAGGCTTTAATTTCCAGTCATGTCACTAAGTTACGGAAATTTATAATCATGGTGCATGTGTTCTAATATCAGAATTTTGGGATTGTCTGTTTAACACACTTTTTGTTAAAATGGTATTATATGATCGATGCAAATGTTTGTGTTGGCAATTCTGAATTATTGGAGCCATGCTTGTATGTCACTTAAATATATCTAACAAACGTGTTGATTGGCTGAGACGATGTCAGCTCCTGACTTGGTGCTATAAATGTCAAATTGACAATCAGGTATGCCATCATAAAATTTTAAATATGTTGCCAACTGACAACAAAATTGCTTAGTCACTCCGTATTTCGAAAATTACTAGTGTAATTTCACCACTAGTGACTTGGTTATAATTTTATAATTTGGAAAAACCACTTGAAATCCTATGAAAAATGCCCCAACGTTAAAAGCTCACTTAACAAAAATTATTTTTGTCTCAAATATATTAAATTTGTTCCGCATAATTTGAATACTGCGTAATAAAATTATAGACTCAGTTGAGAACTCAATATCTCGAAGCTTTTACTGCAGAATGAAATAAAATTAATTAATGTAGACCTAGTTTCCTCTTTAGTAAGATATAATTATTCCTTTAAGGTACAAATATAAGCCTTCGAGAATATTGTTTTAAAATTTGAGGATCCTTTCAGAATCGTATATACAAATAAATTAAGAAATCGAAAATAACATAAAGTCTCTTTGAATTGTTACTGACTGTGTTTTAACTTCATACTTTTTGCCCTAGTTGCAATTAATTAGGTAACGTTTATAAATTAGGCACAACTAATCCTAAATAATGACAAAACAAGTTAAAATGACATAATAAAGCTCAATTAGTTCTTTGTCTTCATTCATCTTCTATATCCTTTAATGTCGAGGCGATGCTGTCACGTCAAATTACATTATTTCAGATTCTTCAGGTTCCTTCAAAGGAAAGAGATAATTGCAGAAGTTTTTCAAATAAATCAATAAAAACTCGAGTCAAAGAACTTATTAAATTATTTTGTTTACTCTAAAGTTACATAGTACGCACTCTCAGGTGGATATTTGTCACAGCAATAAATCAAAATACCCCAGCCTCTTTGCGAGATTGTGCATTATTTACAGCCGGTTATCCCTGATTAATGGCTTTTAAAAGTGGAAAAATGCAATTGCTGGCCAAATGGCGTAAAATTGGCGCTTGGTTTTGTGCGATCCAATTAATCTCATCTGCAATGTAAGTTGCGCCAAATTGACCTTAACGTACTAACTTTATGAATTAAGACATCACTATTATCGTTGTAAATATTAGCCAAGAGCATACCACAAATCATCACTTAGTTGTAAGTTAATCTTAATGATAGCTGTAGGTAGTGTACATAACTGTGATATTGGTAAAAATAACTATTATTTTGCAATGTAGGGGAGATTTGAGTCGTATCGATACATATGATATTAATATCTTCATGTTATTTTTGTAATAAAATATTTATGGATCTGAGTGAAGTTTTATTCTCTTTGCTGCCCTTCTTGGACGCTTTCCAAATGGAATGAATGTGTTTGATGGCATTCCGCGTTATGCGCTTTTAAATACCGGCTTTAATTACGTTTTAGCCGCAGATAGTGCGGCACAAGAAAAAATCCACTTGTAGCCATTGATACTTACAGAATCCGGATAATCTTGCTGATGTAGAGCCGTGGTGCTTCCGGACCTTGATTCGCCCGGACTGGAATGTCTCCTGCTTCTTGTTCCGGGAGGATTTTCCTCGTCGCCGCTCACGTATTCCTAAAATACCCGCTACCTTCACTTTTATTGTTATGGTCTTGTTTGCGATCGTATTTATGAGAATTTGACTAAATTTAATATGTCTGTATCGAGCTGAAGACCAAAGTTCACAGAGAAGCTCTGACTAACTCTAATGTTATATTCTAAACAGGTATGAGAGAGGTATTAAAGACAGTGCAAGTGGGAACATGATAGAGATATGTTGGTGCCAGTGCTCTAAAAACGAAATAAATCTCAGTTTGCTCGAGGAGTGATCTTAATTGGGAAAGATGATGCCTGAGATTTATTTTGTTCCTCTACAAGCCTACGAAGATAAAAGAGAGGAGAAGAAGAATAATAAAAAATTTAAAAGACAAGAGGTAACCTGAGTTTGGTGATCTTCGTCGTTTAAAGCGGTTACTATTTTTCCTGTGGCACTTGGTGGTCGTGTTCTACAAAACGCGAAAAAGTATTATTATTTATTTAGGTTTAGCGTGGATTATGATTGAAAAATTTTATATTGTTTGCGTAAAAATCTCACCTCTGTATTCTATCTGATATTCCCATTCCTAAACCTGAATCCTCACTGGGAGAGCGATAATCGTCTTCGTTACTAATACTTACACCAGGAGGTGGCTCTACTACTGGACCGTACTCCTGCAATACCAACTGGGTCAGTTTTTGGTATAGTATTAGCAGTAGTAACATTATAAATTTTTACATTTTTGAAAAAATAACACGTGGTTATAAACACATACTGAAAATTATTCTGCAAAATTGCTATGTTAAAGTTGTAACAAATTAAAGATTAATTTGAATTCAAATTTTTCAAACTGATTTTATAATCGTCGTTATGATATATGATGAGATTTAAACGTTAATTTCTATGCTTACGGCATTGTAAAAGTATCAGTAAGATCTTGACGATTCCGTAAAGGATATTCTGTTTGAATCCACAAGGCTTTTTTGTGATAAAATTTTGAAACGCAACTTGTCGATACAAAGTGGGTAAAATAAAGTTGATAGTGTCATTTAAATTTAACTTAAAGTTTAAATTATGAAATATTAATGAAATTCAAAATCAGTGACTGGTTCGAAGAAATAAATAAAAATAAATCTATGAAATGTTTATTTTTATATTAACCTATCGACCTTTAAAACTATAGTTATATGTGTATATTATTTTAAAACTTAGAATAACGTCAATAATAAATTTAGCATTGAAAAGTTTTTATTTTTATAGTGAAACAGATTATAAATGATGTCAAAGAGTACTCAATTTAAAAAAAAATCATACATTTTTCCAAAAACTAGAACTATTAAATCGTCAGTTTCAAATCTATTGAGATTTGTATAAATAAGCTGCTTTTTATATCGATGAAATTTCAAAAATAAATTTTGCCCTACGAAGGGGTCAATTAGAATATGTAAAAATATATAGGGTGTTCCATTTTTAAAAAACAATTTGTCTGTTCCACCTTAGAAACAGAACATTAACTTTTTTTTCTATTTGTAATAATAACTGGCGACTCACCCTGTATATTTCAGAGTAATAATATAGTTTCTAATATTGTTTCGTTATTACCAAGACTAGTGGCCAATATTATTATGTTTTCGGTATGTGACAAATTCAAAAAGTACATGTCTTGAAATAATCTACTAATGATTTTAGATTCTTAAAAGCAATGAACTCTTCTGAGTAATAATTAAAATAAATTCGATGTTAATTGCTTGAAATTGTGGACCTAGTTAATTACATTATCCTTGTTTAAAAATTCTTCCATTAACTATAACCTTTGATGTTCTAAATCTGTCTACCATTTTAATGGGTTGAGTGATCTCTGAAACAAGGGTTGCATGAAACTAAATTAAGAATGCTACCAAGCCTTTTCGTGTGCAAAGTAAATCTATTGATATCGATTTAAAAGTAATTACGTTAATCGAGATTAATTTTACAAACAAGAAACGAAAAGCTTCCAAAACCTAAAATGTGTTTTATTTAAGTTTTAAATGGATTTCGTTCATTTGTTATTGCTTCCATTTTTGATGAGTCGAAAACTGTGTTTTAAGCAAGAGATGGGACAACAATGCATTTATAATAAAACATCTAATCGTTTATCCTTTGCTTGTTAAAATCTGAATTCAAAATTAGATTATGAGAATTATTACAATTTGCAGTGGAGGCGACATGGAATAACCAAAAATGTTCTACATTGGAGTTATATCATTTTATCGTTTTTACGTATCATGTTTCATTATAACTATAATAATAATTAAATATTCGCCTTATGTTTTATGGACAAGTAGAACTGATTAAGGTCAGTTACTGAACTACATCAACCGTAACAAACTTTAAATACTTTCCAATAGTTATTAAAATAACTAACCATTTTCAGTTTTTCGTAAAAATTTTATTGCCGAAGTTAATTTTTAAACTAAACTCTAAGCGTTAACTTCTAAACTCTTTAGTAAAGAGTCGGTAATAAATAGTACAGTTCACCTTAAAAAGTGTTTTTAAGAATTTATTGGGTTACTTTTGTCTTGAGTATCATTGTTAAAATAAACTTTTAGGTAATTGTATTTGGTGTATTCTCTCGCCATTCACTCTTCTGGAAAGCAGGTTTTATTGCAAAGTCGATTTTCATTTGCCCTAACCAAAGTATTATTTTTATTTCACAATAACTAATTTTACAATAAACATAAATTTCACCGGAGATGAATGAAATAAAAAATTATATATCTATTTTTTCTAAAAAATAATCTAAAGGATTCCATCAAAAAAGTCTTAACAGTTGATCATAAAAGAATACTTGAAAAAAAAGCAGTTTCTTTAATTACGTTGGCATTTTACCTTTAGCATACGTCGGTTTTTAATTCTTAGGTTATCCTACCAAAGATGATTTTCTGTACGTGTGGCCAAGCGTCATTTCAAGCACCTTACAATAACGTGTTTAGTTTTATTATCTGAGAGAATGACAGGAAAGCCATAGTTTTTATTTTTTACAGATGTGTAAGTATACGTTTTATGTAAAAAACAGAAAAATTGCATTCGATTTTTAAAGATCATTAAATACTTAATTTTGACTTGTTTTATATGTAAAACATTTTCTCATGGAAATCGTAAAATAGATAAACTTATTTATAAACATCAACACAAAAAAAGTAATATTAACACATTTTATATTTCTTTTGTGAGCTATTTAAGAGTAATAAGGTATGCGAACTTAAAATCGGGACTATAATTAATTTCCACAATTTTTGTATAAAGAAGCAATTTGCATAGTGCTATATTAAATATGACGTTTAGATTTTGATGACGATAATTTATTTTTAAGCAAAACTGTCATATTAGCAATGGCCCCACTAAAAGAACTTGAAAAAAGAAAATTAATAAATTTAGTGTATGACAGGCAGCCAAAGATTACTCCATATTTGGCGGTTAAGGGATTAAAAAATTATGTAATTGGCAAAAAACCCCTGTGTATAGAGTTTGGGAAACATTGGATGGAGTTGGTGGAATAGAAAGGAAAGAAGAGTTTGGAAAAAAAAAGGAGACAATTACCGGAAGAAGAAATTCGGAAGATTGTTAAACTTTCAAAGAAAAATGGAGCGACTGCATTGAAGTTAGCAAGAAAGTATCATGTGTCAGATCGGAATATATCGAAAATATTAAAACAAAAAGGAATTAACCGTTTTACCAAAATAGATGCATGAAAATCGACACCTGAACGAGCAGAACGACAAAGAGCCGAACTAAATGCCTTATTTTCTGGTGATTTCAAACTCAGTGGCAAAAAATACATCATTTGTGATGATGAACACTATTTTTCTTTCCAAAACGACAAAGGGTTTTCAAGTAAACATTATTTGGTCACATTTAAAGAATAAAGTATTTATATTATGAACAAAACTGGCTAGCTTCGACATTTAGGAAATTGAAGTGGCGAATAAAAAAGAAAATCAAGGAATTTTACGAAAAATACTTCAATCGATTGCTGTGGAACAACCGCAAGAGAACTAATGAAGCGGCTGTTAATGGAACATTGAGAGTTATTAAGAAATAAGTTTATAAGGTTATTGTTACACAATTGTTTTTCGTTTGAATAATAAATATGTTTGAAAAATAGTCCCAATTTTAAGTTCGCCTACCTCAATAGAGTTTTGAATTGAAAGTTTTGTATTAGGGGTGTGGATTTCTATTAGAATTATAAAGCTTACCTACATTTTATGATACGGTTTTCAAAAAACAATCTATAAAGAACCACTGCTTTTTGTGTCCCTTTCTAACAAAGTTTAATGTGAATCAGGCCTGAAAATCACGTTGCAGAAGAGGGATTTTTGATAAAAATATGATTTGTGAGTTTTCTTAAAGCAGTCTTTCGATAAAAGCTCTTTTTTTATTTTGTTTTATTTTTTTATTTGTCCTTGATAGTTCATCTAAAATTAAAAAAAGATTAACGTCATTAAAGAACATTTATTTTTAAAATTTAAAATGAAATTCTTATTCCTTATATTTTAGGTTCATAAGTTTTGATCTAAACTAAATTAAATAGCCCATGTTTGCACCATCTAGCCCTTGCTAAAATACTTCACAATCAGTATATCAAAACTGGCATGCTGTCTAATGTTTTAAAGAAATTATACCTAATGTTATACTCAATTTTCAACCATATTATACAGTATGAACATTATTTATGAAATAAATTCAGAAATTTCAAAACTAGGGAATTTGTCGAAAACGCTGAAATGGGCTAATTTGTATTTTAAATCACTCTCTTTTTAAGTTATCGTACATACTTGTTACGTCATCTACCTTCAAGCTATGACGTCTTTTTTAAAAAATAATGCAAAATGTTTTATGTTATTTGTAGGCAGTAGCTTTAAAGAACCCAAACTTGTTGCCCTATTTTCAGGAGTTTTTGAAATTATTACATTTGTATGTTTCAATCAGTGTCCATAATTTTAAAAAAAGTTAACAAATCTTTAATTTTGTTATGATTTAAAAAACGTTTACACGTTTGTGTTTTTTGTTCCAAATTTTGTTTGTTAAAATGTTCCTTTAAAGTACCTACTATCCAAAACTAAAAAAAAGAGTGTGACGTCATAGCTCAAAAGTGGATGAAGTCATAAACAAGTGAAGAAACTTAAAAAATGTATAGTCAGAAAAAAATTGACATGCTTCAGCGTTTTGACAAATACTAATGTTTTGGAAATTAACCAAATTATTCCACAGTGTACAATGTAATTATCGTCCTATACTTGTTACATTATACCGGATGTCTGGAGAATGGTGGATTAACTCTCCGCTACGTTCTTAACAATTAACTGGTGAGTCTGGGAAAATAGTAAAAAAACTCCTTTTCACATTTTGGTGGAGTTATAATGATTTTAAAATTGGTTCTTTTGCTATGTTTAACAACTAAACAACACATTCATTATCACAATAACTAGTAATAAAACTTTTAGTTAATATTTCTCTCGCTCATGACCATCTTTAATTACCATTTCAGTTAGAATATAGAAAGATATGTAATAATTTGATAAAATTCCATTTAACAACAATGTTTGCTTGATATAAAGCGAAGGTACACGTCAGCAAAAATCGAATAAGCAGTTAAAAAAGTTTTCAAAAACGTACGTTTAAAATGTTCGCAGTTAATTTTAGGTCCCCTGGTGTTTTATTTTGGGATAAATTTACTTTATAAACCTGAAACAATTTTTTGAGCTTTTAGTGTTTTATTTTTTACGAATCTGAAAAAGTCTTGGGTGCGCAGTGTTTGGGTACCCATGTCTTATTTTGGTAGCCCATGGCGATTTTTTTTGTAAATTATTGAGAAAAATTTTGGGACTTGGGTGTTCTATTTTTGAAAAATTCTGATCTGACCTGTTCTTAAGTTAATTTTGAGAACTCTTTCTTTTTCTTTTTTTGAAAAATTTAAAACAATCTTGAGGTTCTAGGCATTCTTGTTTGGAAAGAATTTGAAAGTGCTTTGGAGCCTCTAGTGTCTTTTCTTATAATAATGTAATTAAATTCCTTAGAGGATACGTCATTTGCTAAAATTAGTCGTATTTTGGCAACTACTAGCCCTGCCCACCCACCCTCTCTTTTCTTGGAGGGTATGTCATTTGCTAAAATCATTTTTATCTTAGGAGGTACTAGCCTCGCCCACCCGCCCTCGCTTTCCTTAGAGGGTATTTTATTTGCCAAAATTAGTAGTATCTTACCAGCTTTTAGCCCCGCCCACCACCCTTTCTTTTGTTAGAGGGTATGTCATTTGCCAACATCAGTGTTATCTTAGCAAGTACTGCTGACTAACTGTTACAAAAAATGATCAAAATTTGGAAACATTACGAGCTTACAAAGCAGGAATTATGAACATCTTTTCTAGTGTGTAGTTATGCTTTAATGGATTTTTCTTTTGTTGGTTTTGTTTTTGTTTATATTTTATAAAAAATGTCATAATAAATGTGTTTTTTTTTGGTTTATTTATTAATGAAAAATAACAGCTTGTTTTAGTAATAATAATGCACGACGATTAATGACTACTGGTTATGGTTATTGTACTAAAAAAAATATAAAAAGTGCCTTGTAGCCAATTTTACTTTTATAAAATTAAGTTTTTTTCATAATCTGCATCATAAAGAACTTTTGATAATTTTTTTGGGACTCCTGAAACCCCCATACATAACGTACTGAAGAGTTAATCCACCATTTTCCAGACACCCGGTATAAACAAACAAAATTCTAAGAAAAGTTTAACTCTAAGTTACCTTATGTGAGTATTTGAGATAACCTTCATACGTCTTCGCAATTCGGTTTCGGAAAATATAAATCCATATCTATATCCGTTAGACACGCTATCTCCAAAATTAATAATGCTTTTATGAAAAATCGTTGCCTCGGAGCTTTTTCTTGTGTAGTCTCAAAAGCACTTGAGTGCTTATTTTTGACGTTATTATAAAAGAGAAATTTTATCCTATAGTGTAGATATAATTCACCAAAACTTAATTAGGTCGTATTTGTTTCCTACACATCAAATATTAAGTTTACCTCTGATTATTTTCCTTTAAATTAAAGTTTTGCAACCCTTTGTATTATATCCAATTACTTATCCGCTATTTAAAATTACAGCCCAGTTACTACTAGGAGTACTATTTAAAAAGAATGTAAATACTAGGGTGTCCCAAATAAAACTCCACCGCCTTATATGTTGAAAATGGAGAAAGGTGTTGAAATTCTGTAAACTCCCTTGTTTTTAGCTTGAAAGGAGCAGCTTAATTTAGTACATCGCAAGTCTAAGCGTCGTGACGCAGACTTATTTAAATTGCAACCTATATTTTTTAACGGATTTTGATAAATCAATAGATTACGATTACACTTTTACACCAATACTGCTTGAATTTTTATAACTTTGAAAAACATTTATTATGAAAATTGGTTTTAGATTAGATGGCCAGCCGGTAGTCCAGATTTAACGTTCTTACATTTATTCTTGAGATGATGCATAAAAGATTTTGGTGTATTTGTCACTCTGCCATGACTTAGAAGATTAAAAAATTAAATTAGGAATGTTTTGTGTCCCTTTAACGCTTGATATTCCAATGTTAATCTTACTAGTAAAAAGTTTTTTGTTCAGTGCTAAGTACATCCGTTCGAACATATGCTAAATTAGTTTATGAATTTATTTTTTTTATCATACTTAAGTATATACTTTGCAAGTTAAAAATATAATACTCGTATATGTTTGTGTGGCGACGCCGGCGTCACATATGTATTTATCGCCAAATTAGGCTTCCCCTGTCAAGCTAAAAACAATGGCGTTTACAGAATTTCAACATCTCTATCCGTTTTCAAGTCATAAGGACACGATATTTCGTGTGAGACACACATGTATATATAAAATCTGATTTATTTTCAGTGGTCTAACCATTCAAAATATTTATCAAGACTGATTATTATCATTATGAAAGTCTACGGTCAAATGTTAACGACGTCATTAACAAACGAATAAAATATAAAATGTACAATTACGGAAATTAATTTATTTGTACAAAAGTTTTCGTACAAAGCAATTATTTTTTAAATTATTACTGAGTTTGTTCAGTAAGCAGCTTTCGTACAGTTTAAGTATTAGAGCTTCAACTATTATTAGTATTTAAAATTCAAACTAATTTCGCAAGAAGCCAGAATTTACACACAATGGAAATACTCTCCTCCTCCAACAACGTTTTAGAATGGGTTTATTTATAACTCAGACAATCTTAATAGACAACTTATATAAATAACTAGTGTAAGATGCAAAGAGAATTCGTAAATTTGTGATGTAAGTATAATAAAACAATCGAATTCAATATAGGTATAGCATCACAAAAAGCAACAATGTGCTGTATAAGCAGCTTATATTTTCATTCAGAAGAATAAACCTCTAAATAACATAACCTGAGATAGATTTATTGTTATATTTTTTACTGAAGAAAGATTCATCCATTTATTACGGCTCTCTTAGTTTGTAAGGCGCCGGATGAGCAGAAAAACAAGACTGAAAACTGATGAATGCCGGCGTCGGCTAATATACTGACCTCGTGTTCTAAAACGTTTTGAAGGTTGTATTAATAAAAGAAAAGAAACACTACTTAAACAAAAAATGAAAATCGTGATACTGTTTCTAAGAACATGGTGTAAGAATATTGTTATTGCAGAATATAAATCGGACAGTGCTTGGAGCAAATTTTACCACTCTCATACATAAAGTCAATGAATATTTGTATTTTTTGCTTTGTCGCAGCACATCGTGCTAAATTTGCGGTTTTCGTATGTCTGTCGACAATACGTTTCAAACTAACACAAACAACCTGTTTGCAGCATCAAGCACCACATATTTCTATCATTCATTTTTAGCTTCCATATCAACGTTTTTTAAAATTTATTGGAAACTACGCTTACCTCGTGATAAGTTGAAAAGTTAGCCGGTTGATTAGCATCCGGAATGGGTATTCCTTTCCTCTGTAAAATACAAAATTTAATTCAGACTCCAATCAAACTCTTTGAGGTTGCTTCACAGAACCAAAACACTTTTAACTACTTTAATTATTATGCAGATATGGTAAGAAGTGATGTTCTTTGAAGATAATTTTAATTACAGGGAACTCACCCGCGAATGTCTGTAATCGTGCTCCCTAGGATCTCTTATTCTAGAAGTCTCGATATCTCTTCTGTACACTAATTCGTCAAATTTAACGCGATCTTCGATGGCTACTATTTCTCTTAGTTCGGTCATAAGAGTATACTGCAATATAAAGAGCCACAATACATAACACAAAATAACAGAAGATTACTACTGCATAATGTGTTACTTCGTGCCTCATCAACTCAAAATCTATTTATCACGATAATTAATCACCTTATCAGGAGTGTTAAGAAGTTCAGTCATGACTTGTACGAAGGCATCTATGGTCATATGTCTGGACGCGTACTCATCCGTGTAATAGCAAAGGGTTGTGAATTCTGGCCGAGAGAGAAGGCATCTCGCCTTTTCCTCCACCATCTGAAGAGCCGCCGCCCATTTTCTCGTTGTTTGCGCTGCTTTGCTCCTACAAAAAGCGATAACGGAGTATTAGTTCCTGCACTTGACCGATTTCCCGCAGTTTTCTCTTCTATATTTTTCGCAGGTATCAAAACTGTATAAACACTATTGGCTGCTTCGAGAACGTTCTTGGCAACTCGGGAAAAACGTATAATATTTGGGAAAATGAATGTGATCTCTAGTCTAAACGATACATCAGTGTTTCGTTTGATGACAAACGAAAAAATTTAAAAGAAAATTACCTACTAAAATTATAAATTTAGCTGTAAAACTGTAATTTAAATGAGTTTTAGTAGGACTTCTTCGCAAACATTGCTTACTATAAATTCAAATAACTTTTTAATGTTATTTCTAGAATTGCTATTAACCGCAAGAGAGAACGAAATATTGGCGTTCTGCCAGTTTATTAGAATGAACTCGTTTTTTTTTTCTCGACTTCTTTGTTTGGCATTTTTTTCTGAAAACCTGTTTTATTCCAAGATTTTTATTCTCCTGTGAGAAAAATGGCTCGTTGGGTGAGCTTTAGAGGATGCTGTTACAATTATGAGCATGGTCTTTTGTGATTTTTTTTCTAGTGCCTATTCTTTAAGTACGCAGCTGGTTCCTCCAATAACCTTTTAATGTCAATGCTGCTAATGATGATCGAAGGAGCAGATAATCTGGATTTTACTTCCCGAGCGTAACGAAGGGAGTATTGTAGTAGAATCTACCCAACGAATTTCAACTTTTATGTTTTCTGGACATTTCATGAGCCCTAAATTACGAAACAGTAGGTCTGCCGTTTTGGTCTGGCTCTTTTCCTATCTGCCGTCCATGTCAGTTTTTGTTAGACTGATAATTTCCCAAAGCACAGGACTGATTTTTATTATATTTTATATATTTTTTATTTGTCTGATCAGCAGTAATATGACGGCATCACCTTGAAATGATTAATAGCCAATGTTATTTAAATTTTATAAAATAACATATTCCTACAGGTTCGGATTATGAATCCGTCTTTTGTTACCTTAGACGTCCAAAGTTTGGAAAACAAAATCACACATTTTAACTTTGAAAGTGTTCAAGAACCGTTCAGCCCACTTTCGGGAAAATTTTATTATACAGTGTGATTAGAATTACGCTGCACCTATTCAAACTGATATACGTCTCCTTGTTAAAATGTTGATAACATCATCACAAAATTTTGATTATGGAAAAACTCATTTGAAACATAAGCATAGCATACTTCTTTACCTGTACTTTAACAGTCCATATAATACATAAAAGAAAATAAAATTCGTAAAATTAAATTTTATGATTCTTCGAAGAAGCTGTATTTGTTAGTTTGTACTTCGGGGTAAGGCAAGTTCAGTCTACATAACTTAGACCCAAATTTTTGTGTAATGAATTTAAAACGATCACTGCAGCTTGATCTACGGTACGTTGCAGTGCAACAAGTTGATCGTAAAAAACATTACTCAACATCAAGATACGAATATAATCTATTTAGGTCAGTGTTAAAACGTATTGTTACGAAAGAAACCCATACACCGCCCCGATGCGACGTCTATGGGTTCTAGTATATATGGCAACGATGGGTGACTCATCGTCGGTGGCGGCGGCCGAGCGGCGCTCGCTAAAGAAAAGCCTGGAAGCGGAAGTCACGACGGGTATTCCAGAAAGACCTCGATCACGAAACCTCTAGAAGGTTTATATAGAGAACACCTTCGAGAACGATTATTATTCAGTCAGGTCAGTGAACGAGAATCCAGTCAAGTTGTGCCGGATTTATTTTGTACATAATCACTGTCGTGTAAATTTGAGTTACTGACAAATACATTGTTGAGTTTATCCACGCCGATTTTAATTACCGATCAACATAACAGTATTTTCAAAGGACAATTTTTTATAATTAGTATTAAGTAATACAATATGTATTTCCCAGGATTGAGTTTCCAAAAAAAAATTAGTTTCCAAAAAAATGTCAAAGGAATAAAAATTATTGTTTCGCTTTATTAAGCATAGAATGTTTTGCTTTCGAGATATATGTAGCACATCTTAGTTTTTTTTTAAAGAAAACCCTATATATTTTTGCAAATTCTTGTTGGTCTTTTCAAGCTTTTATGACAGTTGTTTATTTTTGAAATTCCGATACAGCGTTACCACGTTATTCCAATTTTTTTGGGTTTTTAGCGATTCACAAAATATCACAATTATGTTATTTTTAAGAGCTACGTTGTAATATTTTTATGGAGAGATAGCAACAGAGCTATCAGATAGACTATATTTTAATATACAGCGTGTATTGTATCTTACTCAGTTTTCTGCTCTTTTTTTTAATAGGTCCGTGTATTCCTTAAAAAAGTAAAAGGTCTCAATAACTATCAAATATTTATTTAACAAAAAAAAAATGGTAACAAAAAGCAAAATAAGATACAGCAATAAAATACAAGTGTTCTAAATGAAAAAACTGAAATATCGATATTTGAAAATTCTTATAATTTAATTTTTTATTAACACTATGTGCATTAAAATCCAATTTTATTTGCACCACAGTAAAGTTTGTATCATTATTTATCTTTTCACAAAATATTGTGACTCAGATTTTAAAAATAATTTTAATGTGATTTTTTTGTGAACCCTTCTACTGCTAAAAAAATCAAAAAATTTGAATAACGTCATATCGGAATTTCAAAAAAAACTAAGGCTACAAACCCTAAGAAGAGGTCACCAGGTATATATGTGTAATATAAGTATTTCTAATAATTCATAAGATATCGAGGAGCGTGCGTTTAGTGACCCACCTTGTATAACTAATTCTGCAATTATTAAAAATACAGAAATTTGAAAATGTTTTCAAACAATGAACAAAAATTAAGCGTTTTATCTATCAAATTATATGAATAAAATTAATTTATTACAAAAAAAAAACTACATTATTTAAAAGTTTTTTATACGTGGAATTTAAGTAAAACCAACTTTTTTTTAATTTTAATTTGTTGTAAAATAATAAATAAACAAAAATTTCCTGTTGCAGGATCAATCCGGGAACGTACGGTATGTATCTATGCATCCAAAGTTATCTGACTAAAGTTATTTCGTTGAACTTCTCATCTTTCTGAAGTAATATCAAGTAAATTTTCTTTCCCAGATAAATTGCAAAATTTGATTTGGAAATTAATTTTTTACGGTAACTCCTGTAAATTTAAAAAACGATAGGGGTATTAAACTGCAAATAATGTAACATATAATGTTTTAAAAAAGTTTTTCATAATACATAACATTTTGTTATGGCTATCAACTTTTTAACAACAACAAATGCATTCATTTAAATGCCTACATTGTAATAACTATTAGTAGCAACCGTTTTGTATTTCCAGAACTCTAGCAAAACGAAGTAAGACTTTTGAGCCACTCTGTATCAGCAGTTCTAAAAAAATATGAGTGCATTGATAAACCACAAATGTTAAATCATAATATTTCCCACATTTTAGCTAAGATTTATACAGGAAAAATTTGCATCCATGAAGTTTTTGGAGATAACTTTTGATTAGCGACTTACGATGCTCATGACAGTCTTAAAACGTTTGTAAGATCTCAGACAATTTGGTTTTGCAATTTCTAATAATCATAGTTAAATTGTAAGATTTTATTATATAGGCTGTTCCAAAATTGCTGAAGGAAAAATGCAAGGTCAATCAGTTTGCGTGACCTTTAGCTAAAACTTACAGAAAGATACAAATTTTTTTAATGAAACATGTAGTTGGGTTCACAGAATAATCAACAAATTGAATTATTTTTGCAAAATTAAAGGCGCTATATGTTTTAAACTACAGACGAAATTGAGAAGTTTAGTTTAAACTTTTTTGTATGGTGATTTTGGAATACCCTGTATAATTTTTAAAAATAAAAGTAGATTCAAACTACAGGTAACGAAGTATGTTGTTTGATAAAATTTAAATGGTGGAGATGATTAGATGACAGACAGACGGAAACAGACAACCGAATTTATCATACTCTGGGAGTTATGAAACGTCCAGAAAACATGAAATTATTCATTCGCCAATAGGTTCTATTACAATACTTCCTATAATTTCTAATGCATTTGACAATAATCTTAATAGAGAAATACTGTTAAAAATTTCACCATTATAGGAACGAGTAATTTTCTTAAAACTTTGGTTCCATAAGAAAAGCAATAAAAAGCTCAGCTTTGTGGAGATTTCGTTGTGGAAACGAGAAAATTTATTAAAATTTGCTCTAGAAGTGCAGGACAGTCAGTGTTGTTGTTTAAAAGATGAACGAAACACTTTATAGCCAGATCCCACCAAAATAAAAAAAGGTAGATGTTTGAATTTTTATATTTCTTTGAAGCAATTGCCTTTGATTACATAACATCTATTCTTTCAACACCATTGTATTCTCGATTATTACAATTTTCAAAAATAATTATACATCAGTCCCAGAAAGCAATTCTTTATTAATTACAGACATAAAAATGTAAAAAACTCAATCAGCATTGAAGCCTTGTGGTAGCTCTGAGGATAAATTTAGAACGTTCGAGCTGCAATTACAGTTGAATCTAAACGATGCAAAGAAGTTCAATAATTTATTTGAAAATCCAACAATTTCTTCAGATATTATGTACAACTTGCTAAATTCGAAATCGTCCAACGTTTTTATTTTAGCAACCACACAATGTTATTCAGGAGTGATAACAGTGGATAAGTTACTTGAAAGTACACTTTAGTCTCTTACTTTACTCCATTTTTTTGATATATAGTTATAAGGTTAATAAATTTTTCTTATTAATTAAAATGTCCCGGCTAATTTTAATAACCACTATTAGTTTTATACAAAAGAATAATGAGAACGACTAACTAACAACTAACTAGAAAGTTATTTTATTTATAGCATTAATTAATCAGAGTAGTTGCTTTTGTAGTTTTATTCCAGTCATTTTTTCCACTTTTTTATAGCCGGTCTAAGATATATATCATGGTTAGATGAAAGTACTAAGATATTTATGTGTGGCTGGAGCGCACTAAAATCCTTCCGACATGAAAAGAGACTACCATCAAAAATTTGTTTCCTTGAGAATCAAATATTAAAAACGATTGGATGGTGGAAAAACGATGTTACAAATTTCATTGGAAATTATTCTAAAAATGTTAATTCTAAATTAAACTCAAATAAGACTGTAATTGAAATTTGCTCGTTTCTAGAAACTTTCCAAATTAATGACTTATGAAAATATAAATGCTAATTCGTTCGCGAACTACATAAGTATGCATCACTCAAAGGAAATATAAGCTGCTTTTTTTTAACTTTAATTGCTAATAAAAACTTTCTGTGCAATATGTCTGCACCAAACTTATAGGAAAGTTTTTGTTACTTAGCACAAATATAAGCTAAAAGCAAAGTTTACTTTCTCTACTAGTGATTGCATGTTAGTTGCTTTTATCTAAATTATTATTATAAAGGTAATGTTATTGACATTCAGGCGTATACCGGTTAATCACGCAAAATTGGTTAAATACCGATTAAATTTTCCGATAAACTAGTATTATGCGAATGAGTGCCCCAATGCGCGTATGATAATATCGAACCACGCAGCAAATCCATAAATCCAATACAAAACAACTAACTTCTAACATAAAAAAATTAAGGCTATTTCTGTGTTGAAATGAACAAGAAACAACACCAACCGAAGCTTGGTGAATTCAAGCTAAAATACCGGCTTGCGGAAGCTTCATAAAAACTGATTGCTCCTTTATTATACATTATTTCTTACAGGTATATAGTATTTAAAGAGACTTAGACAAGGTCCATGCAATTCGTTTATATTTTTTGATTTTTGATTTCTGAAAAAATATTAAAGAAAATCTTGTAAATGTACTTCGTTATTTTACAAAATTTTGTTTTCAAATATAATATTTATTTAAATCCGATATATTTCCTGCTAAGTTAAATAATTACAATAAGTCCCGAGTTCAGCAGATTTCCTGCAAACCGCGCTTTCCAGTAAACGAAAGATAAACATAGTTTGAGTTTAGCGCAGTAAATTTTGTTTAACAACGTAGGAAACACAAAATAAATATTAAAGAAATTACCCTGGACTGCACAGGTCCCAGTCCCGATCGTAGGCAGTGCATGAGTGCGGAACTTTCCCTACATCCCTCACCAGAAGAGACATTCTCTTGTGATACTTGAGCTGGGCGACCGCTTCGTCGTGTGTCACATCCATAAAAGATTGTCCGTTCACTTCCAGAATTTGGTCGCCGACCTAGAATTTTTTAGGATTCATTAATAACTGAGTCAACGCAATAAAACTTCTAAACAATATAGTTAATTAAATTAGCGCTCCCCTGCAAACGCTTTAACTCCATTTATTTTTGAGCCGAGGGTTTTTCACACTTAAAGCAAAAAAATGTGAATTAGCGTTACGGCCCGTGGAAATTTTAAAAAGGCAAATAAATATTGGAACTTTTAATTTTCACCGCGCTGAAAAGGTTGGTTCGGCGATATTGTTTGTGATATAAGGAAAACAAACAAAGTTTTTTTATGGGTTGTGGATCAAAATGGGATAGCACACGACGTGGTTCAATCTGTTGCTCTGCTGATGGGAATAGCAGCACGATGACCGAAGCTTCCTAAGAATCAACGATAAATAAGTTAGTTAAATTTTAAACACGTTTAATTATCTAGAAAGAAAAAGAATTTGTCAATTTTTTTATCAATTTATATCATTGGTGTTACGTTGGTTGTAGTTTAAAAACTCGTCTGCAATCGCTGCAGACCATTATCTTTACAGTTAATTCTTATAAAAGAGCAGTCAACGCTATGTCTTACCCATTTCAGCGTAACGACAAGCTTGAGGATCGTAAATAGTGAGCCGTTGTTTCTGTGGTTAGTCCTATAAAACTGAACGAAATTGAGCTAATTCGTAACGTTTTTGAATAAAAATTTATTCTTTCGCAGTAGAAAGAAATGCTGCGTTTGGTAAAAATCAACGAAGAATAATATGCATAAATCAGATTAATTAGTCATTTTCTTAGAACGTTATTTTTGTATCCACTAAAATTTTATTGGCCCGTGAAGTTAAAGGCGGTAATAACGTAATTTAATAAAAGGCAACTCTTAAACAATAATATTGTTCTACGTGCCTTTTTTGTCAAGTGAGTGGGTGAATTAAAAATTACTGATTCGTCTAACATTTATTCAAACATTTATGAAAAAAAAGTTAAATATTTGATTTAAGTAGTATGCAATATAGGGTTTTTATAAATGATTCTAAGGTTGTAGTTGGGTATGGATTTCAAGATTCCGCTTTGCTGAAATTATGCCTCGTTATGACAGTTCTCACTTGTAATTAATGTCATTTGTAACTTGTCATTTAAAAGCATAGTTTGTATTGTTTTAACGTTTTTCAAGTATGAATCACAGTAATTTTCTAATAGAGCTATTAAAGCACGCAAATGACGTCTCAGCAGTTCGTTAATAGCGGAAAGGCGTTCTTTAATACATAGATCTGGTGTAATTTAGATCGGTAAGGTTGGTAGCCATGGCGAGAAATGTCAGGTGAATGTCAGTGACAAATGTCAAATTAAAATTTCCGGTATTTCCGGAGGCGTAAGGACTTCACTAACTTCTTCACAAGACATTTTAACCAATTTTAACTCAAATCTTTCGTGGTTAGTGTCTGACCAATCACGACAAAATTCCCTAGATTTAAAAAAGGCAAATTTCAATTAAATTTTGCGAAAAAAGGTGCGCGGTACAAAAAATAGTATAAATTACTCGTTCATAAGGCCATTGTGGCACTCATCCTATATATTACTCGCGGCTTCGCCGTTCGTTCTATAAACTTGGATTCGTGCCTCAATGTATGTCTTATGAAACGCGTTATTTAATATACTATTTCAAAACTCTTGGTGCTTGCGTACGAAAATTTTTGTTTTTGTGCTCGGAAGCGAAGACTGAAAATGGTTTAGTCTGTTGAACAACACACTTTCACTGTTGTCTTTTTATCGCAATGAGATTTTCGTAAACGGCGAGTGCGTGTATTCTGTAACCGCTTATAACCAAGAATATCTGGCTAAATACCATGATTTGATAATTCAAGAAACATCGTTAGAGGCTCACATTAGAGATGTAATCACCAGATTTGTTCGAACTGACAGTGTCGATAAAGGGGAATCTCCTGGAAGACTTTCACTGTTGGAGGAAGTTGATGATTTGAGAGACTTCCTCAGCACTCAGGAGTTCCTGTTGCAACATGAAATTGAACAATGTATCCAAAGTATTGACGAAAGGATGTTACAGAAGATTTTTGAAATTAAAAGAAAGGGAACATGTGCCTTGAACAAAATGGTGAACATTTTCAACATTTACTGTTTATGTTTAACCGTAATAAATTTGTTTAATGAATTAGTTTTATTTTTTAATAAGATATGAAACATTTAGGCAATCAGTTATACAGCTACGTGTCGTATTTAGTAAAGTTCAAAAATGAGAGGCCGCACGTTTCGATGACCTATTTCGACCCTATAATCATTTATAGAAACCCCGTACTAGAATGGGCTAAAATCATATAATATAAATTAAATTAAAACATTTCTTTATTTTGTCAATTTTTATAGAATTTAGTTGTAAAGAAATCCAGTTGGACCAACATCTCAATATTGCAAGTCATACTGAGAAGAAAATACTCCTTCAAGTTGTCTCAAGAAAAAATTTGAAACTGTATTGGACCTAAAAATTTTGGACAGTATATTGTTATAAGTTCTATAAAAATGTTATTATAATAAATAATGCCCTTCTGGTTTCAAGAGCAGTAAAGTTGAATTTGTTAAGTAGTATTATATACAGCTAGCCTAACATCTTGACAATGGCTAGCTTAAAAAAAGAAAGCTTAATTTAATATATTGCAAATATGATGTGCATATTTTTTAACGGATTTTGGGAGATCATTAAATTACGAATACAACAATATAAAACACTTACAGGTGTTTATTTCATTTTGAGTCGATAAAAAAATAAAAATTACATTTATGAAAACATTGAAGTTGAGTGAAGTAAAGCAGGACAACTTTATTTTACAAAAAAATAGTAAAATCTACTTAAAATATAAGCATTTAAACATTATGTTCCAACTGCCGTCCTTCACAGTGAACACAAAACTTCTTTTTAGTTCGCGATTAATAACGTAGTTAAAAAGGCTCAAATATTCCCATTTTTTTTAATCTTCTAAATCAGGCAAGCGTCACAAATACACCAAATCTTTTATGTATCGCCACAACAATAGATCTAAGGATTCTAAATCTGGGCTGCGGGCTGGTCCAATTTTCATAAGAAGTGTGTTTAGTATTAAAAAATAGTCGATGTTTATTTCTACAGAACTTCCCTCGCTCCAGTGGGGTAAATAACAACCTCTCAGCCCCGGCGCTGCGAGGGTGTAAAATATGAAATACATTTAAAGCAGGTAATCAACGGGAAACGATTAATTTAATACATTTCTACTTCCTAGAATTTATTTAACTTTGACTGTTTATGTTTATGCTTCGAAAGAGTTCGATCATTACCACGCCACATCATATCAAACTATCAAAGTACGCAAAGCTGGCATTAAATACATGCATATTATGTTAAAAGAAACTGAAATTTGATTGATTTTGTCTCTTCAACACAGAAGAGAGAACCACACTTGTTTCTTTTTCTATAAAAAATATAGATAATAGCAGGAATAGTACAAGGAAAAAAAATGGTGGCGAGTCATACACCACTGTAATAACCTTCAAGTAACTTCGCCTAGACGCGTAGAAAAGGTTTCCATACAATTTCGATTAGTTTTGCGAAAATTAAGATGTCTCGGCGAAAATCTAAAGACAGATTCATAAAGAACAAATACACGAGTATATTATTTTATGAAATTTACGCCCTATTTATTATGAAAAATTTTGAGGGGATGTCATCACGTTGTTGATGGGATGATTAGAAAAATTTAACGAAGCGTTTTACCACCTACTTGATATTCATAATATACTAACAAAATTTACAATGACTCCAGTAGTTTCGGAGATTATACGTCTAATAAAATCCGGACCGAGCGGCGGATAGATGGACAGACAGACAGACAGACAGACGGAAACAGGAGACTGATTTCTTCGTACTCTAGGGGTCATGAAAGGTCGAGAAAACGTAAAAGTAGAGAATCGGCCGACGGACTCAATTACAATACTTCCTTCGCTTACACTCGGGAAATAAAAATGGAACAACTTTCAAAGAAATACTGTAATAAGTAGTTCAAGATTTGTGGCGTTAAAAATTAATAGTAGTAAAGTAATTGTGTTTGCACAACTGTTTCCATGACAATATATGACAATTCCTTCATTTAGATAACGTATATTTTGTATACATAATTAAAACTAATACTATAATGTAAGTGTTTCATATCATTGTAATCGTAATTTTATGATCCAACAAAATACATAGTCGTAATTTAAAAAAAAAAGGTTTGCATCACGATGCCGACGCCATACCTACATGTATCATGTTAGCAATGTATAGTTTCCCCAGTTCTAATTCGGTTTTATGATAGTACAAATGGGGCATTAATAATGACCAACCCCCGGTCCTAGCAATGGACTGCCGCAAGTACTCGAACCGTTCTTCGAAAAAGACAAGGTTGGTTTACAACTACAAATACAGACTTGCATTTATCGAAACTCAGCTTTCTTCAAGGGCTCGGGTAGTTTCGGCAGTCCATAGCTAAGACCATGGCCACGGAAGGTGGTCATTACTAATGGCTTCGTCTGTACCCCATTGTGTAAAAATTAACTTACTTAACAATAGATTAGGTACTACTGCCGATGATGGAACAAACATAAATAAGGATGTAACTATGGCGTTACAAAGTTAACTTTTACACATCACAAAACCGAATTAGAATTGGGGTAACTATACTAAATTAAGTTTCTCGTTTCAAGTTAAAAACAATAATACAGAATTTCAGTATCTCTATCCGTTGTCAGATACATACAAGGCCGCTGAGTTTTATCTGGAACACAAATAGTACATCCGAACACAGGTAACTTCCTTCTGATCTAAAAACTTGGTATGTAAGAAAACGTCTGTACGAAAATACTTAAAATATGAATACTGAAAATATTATTGCGATCTGCAGTCAATATTCTTCAATATATTTTTTAATCGTGGGCAAAAAGCGGTTTTTCAAAAGAGAACATATACGTTAAATCATTAATAAATAAAGGGAATTACAGTGGA